GTATGCAATAGTAAAAGCTATGCATAGTATGACATGCATCAAAAAATGCACACACACTATTAATGTAATTTTCAATAGTGATAATAATTTTGAAAATTTAACTAATTATACTAAAATAAGAAATTAAGTGTTTTTTTATTTTATATTAATGGTTTATTATAAATGATTGTTTATTTATTTGAAATACTAATGTATTAGACTTATTTGGTGTAGTGTGTCCCACGCGTGTGGATATCATACATTTTTAAGAATTATCGTATCCCATATACATTTTTGCACCTCGTGTTCCGTGCACGTGCAACCTTACTCTTAGTATATGAGACTACTCCATACACCAAGTTAATCAACCAAGGTTTTTTTTTTTATTACCAAGAAAAAATGAAGTGTTTTTTTAAAATTTATTTCCAAGAAAAAATGAAGTGTTTTTTTAAAATTTATTTTTGTGTCATTTTTTATTAATGAATGATCAGAAATACTCTCGTTACAACTAAAATATATTTCGATAGTTTTGGTAAGTCGTTCATCTTTGCCATACTCTAGAATTATTTCTAATTAAAGAGAGATTTTTTAATGAAAACTACGATAACTAAATTGAAATGGGAGGAGGTTAGCTCTAGGCTCTATATTGATCAGTTCAGTTGAAAATTTAACTAATTATATTGAAATAAGAAATTAAGTTTTCTTTTATAATAAAGTGTCTTTTTTAAATTTATTTTTGTGTCTTTTTTTTTTAAAAAAAATTAGTCCAACAACTTAATTTAGAATTCTAATATTTTTCATTCTATAATCCAAAATACTGCTAAGCGACAAATTGTGCTATTTACATTTTTGTTTCATATAAGGCAAAATACTTTCTTTTTATATATTATATAAATAAATTAGGCCCGGCCAATTTGCTAAATATTGACATTTTCAGAACTAAATTTAAGAAAAAAATAAGGAGCTAAAATTATTTTCCAAAAAAACTTATGTTACTTATTTTTTTTGCATATAAAAGAAAAATAAAATTAATTTTTCTCTATAAATTAATTTTTTTATTTTCCTTATAATTTGAAGAGAAAATTATCAGAATTTTTTTTCTTATATTCCTTTATTATTTCTAAATAATATAGTTTTTGCTTATTAATATTAGTTTAGTTTTTCTTTTCTTTTTTCTCTTCTTACATGACATTATTGAACGTATAATAATATTATTTTCCTTACAATTGTAGTCGTTACCACTGATCTTCTTACTTGTGTTAAATAACGCTTACATTTTGGTAATTAGAAAATTATCAGAATTTTTTTTTCTTATATTCCTTTATTATTTCTAATATATAGTTTTTGCTTTATTAATATATTAGTTTAGTTTTCTTTTCTTTTCTTTTCTCTTCTTACATGACATTATTGAAAGTATAAAATAAATTATTTTCTTACAATTGTAGTCGTTACAACTGATCTTCTTACATTTGTGTTAAATAACGTTACATTTGGTAATTTGAAATACAAACACTTGGCTATTATTTAAGATAGACTTTCTACTTTTATATATTATATAATATAGATTTTTTGACACTCTTATCCATTCATTTTTTTTCCGTATTCTTAAGGTTTACAATTCTACTTGCTATAAACACTCCTTTAAATTTGCTACTCTTGTTATTTATTTAATTCTTCTTTTTCAAATCTCAAAGGAATATATTTGATTTTAATTATTTAATTATTTTATTTCTATTGTGATAAGGGCATGTTGTCGAAATTAAATAAAAATTAGAAAATTTTTTTTTCTGCCTTTTCATTTTAATTTTATAAGAAATAATCTTTTGTTATAAAAAATTAGAAAATACATCTGCCTGTTTCAATTTTAATTTATAAGAAATAATTCTTTTGTTTATAAAAAATTAGAACAATCTATATTCACGAGCTAACCTATATATATATAGATAATACCGTTATATACGTATATATATATATCTATCTTATCTGTTTTATTAATCTATACATTTTAGCTTCTATCGTCCATCTTTAGAAAGTTTACTAAGTTCCGAGATATCCTTTTTTTTTTTGTACTCATTTTAATTTGTAACAGCTAATCAAACATCCATTCTTTTATCATGTTTTAAATCAATTGATAAACAGGACCTAAAACTGATATAACCTAATATCTATACTCTTATCTTTTATTAATTATTACATTTTAGTTCTATGGTCATACTTTAAAATTTTAAGTCGATATCCTTTTTTTTTTGTCATTTTAATTTTAACAGCTAATCAAACATCCATTTTTATCATGTTTTAAATCAATTGATAAACAGCTAAAAACTAATAACTAATATCTAACAATTAATAACTACTAAAACAGATAAAAACTACTAAAACAACTAAAAGCTACTAAAACAACTAGCAATTATTATAACAGTCAGACCCTAACTTTAGGAGCATGAGAGATTCTCTGTAAATTAAGAATTGTACAAAATTTTTCATGAAAAATACAAAAATAAATTTATGTATTTACTGTTTAAAAAAAAAAAAAACAAAACATCCCACAATTAAAGTATATTTGTATTATTTTAATATTAATTCCATTTTCCGAAAAATACTCGATGCGGAATAAAGTTTATGTATTAAATCTAATTGTGCTAATAGTCTTAGGATTGAAACCCTGTTGGACAATACAAACAAAATGATTTACATAGATATTGTTTCAATTATAGTCAAAACATATTTGGAAAAATGGAACCTAAGTATATGTTTGTTGACTCTGATTTCCTTTAATTTAGCCGTCTATTATGACTAAGAAATAATGTGGAAAAGGGAAAATATATCTTCGGTTCCATCTTCATTTAATTATTAACATTAAATTTACTTTTCTAAAACAACCAATTTAGATTAAATCATGCACTTTTAGAATTTAGGTCTAATAAATTGTTTCACCTTGAACTGTCGACTGTGTTGTAATTTCACTCTATTTTGATTTATATGTTAATTTCATCCTAAATTTTGATCTTTTATTGCAATAATCCCCTAAATTGTAATTAAAACTTAAATTAAAAAATATATATTAATATGAAACCTACTCTTGACTCTGGGTTAACTTAATCCAAATTTAATCGCTCGCAAAAATTTATTAAATTTAATTGTTATTTTAAGTAGATATATTCTTTTTTATTCCACAATTATAAACTATAAGTTTTCTATTTTGATAAAAAAAATATTACAATTTCTAATAGTTTATGGGTCATTAACTTCATAATAGCTTTGTTTTTTAATTTTATAATTATTTTAAATTTTATATTAAAATCATAGCATAATAATAATTATATTCTATTTTTTTAAAAAAGCGTTGTTGTATCAAATAATCAAATTTTAAATACTACTCATTATCAATTAAAAAAACCATTTAAAAATATTAAAAATAATAATAGACATTGTCCATACTATTAATCCAAACTCCCTCACTCGTACAAATGTATTTAGTTGACGCAAGCCCAAGGTCAAGAATGAAGCTATTTTTATTTATAATTTAGGTCTTAATTATAATTTAGGGTGGCGTTGCAAAAAAAGTTCAAAGTTTAGGGCGATATTGATATAAATATCAAATTAGAGTGAAATTACAACAAAAGATTAAAGTTCATGGTGAAATTGTCACAAAGATCAAATCAGAGTGAAATTGCAACAAAATGTAAAGTTTAGAATCAAACAATATATTAAGCTTAAAATTTACTGCTTCGTTTGTCCTAAAATATAAGTCATCTAAAATTTTCAAATATATGATGGTTAAGAAATCAATTAATTATACTAAATTATAATAAAATCAAAGTTTATTTGACAGAATAACCCGTAATCTTAAAACTGAAAGTAATTTATAAAAATAGTTATTATCTTAAATTATAAAGATAGTTAATATATTCAATATAATAAAGATAACATTAAAAAATATAATTTATTGTATTAAAATATTTAAAACGATTTATATTTTAGAACAAAATAATCAGCATATAATGGCAAGGCCAAACCCTATTGTGTATTAATAAAAGTATATTGTACCGGCTCTTCGCATGGTTATGCTAAGGTGCGAAATTGGAAAATAGTGTCCTCCCTTGAAAACGATTTTGCATTTTGCGGCGTGTATATTACACCTTTACTTTAGTTTGGTGAGCTGTCAAACTTCGGATGACCGACATCAACACGGATTATACTATCTTAAACCAATTTTTTACCAAAAAAAAAAAAAAAAAAAAAATCAAACCTTCGGGATGACGACATTCAACACGGATTTATACTTATCTTTAAACCCAATTCTTTTTACCAAAAAAAAAAAAAAAAACAAAAAAACTGACCCATTATTGAACCAAAACACAAAACAATCCAATTTTTTTACACTTGCATTGGAAGATTAAAGTCAGTTCTATATACCTATATATATTAGATTTGTTCTATATATCGAATTGAAAAAAAAAAAAAAAAAAAAACTTGACCATTATGAACCAAAACACAAACAATCCAATATTTTTACATTGCATTGGAAAGATAAAGTATATATATATATATATAGATTTGTTTATATATCGAATGCTCCTAGTCATAAGAGTTTCATCACTTTAAGGACCAAAAACAAAAACTATCCTCTGTATTTGTAATATTCTTTCGAACTGTTAAATCTCTAAATAAATAAATAAATAAAATAACCTTATTTGCTATTGACTCATTCTATTCTATGCGCGAAAAGGATTAAATTATTCTGAGTCTATTTTAAGCAATCTCATTCTGTATTATGATAATAAAAATTAGTAAAAGATAAAAAAAAAAAAAAAGATTTATACTAATACAATTGTATTACGATTTATGATAGAAAATCCAATAGCGAGCTCTGAGCTTCAATACCACTTGGAAGAAAAGAGGAACCAGCTAAGTCAATCCGCCAATATATAATTGAATTCGGATTATTAATTAATCACAATCATTGAAGTCGGAAAGGCAGAAAAAAGAATAATATTTTTAAATTAAAAAAAAGAGAGGAATATTCAAGTATATAGAATTTTCTTTCAAACCTTTTACAATGCATATACTAGGGCAAATTCTGGAATGAAGGATTAATTAATTAGCGTAGTGACTGGTGCTAATTAGTATTTTATCACGATTAATTAATGAGAAAAATGCTACAAAGTTAAAGTAATTATACCCTAATTAAGGTTCATCTTCATCTTCTTCAACTTTTTTTTTTTTTGAGCAGTACATCTTCTTCAACTTGAAGACATTCAATTGGGCAAAATTCTTTGAAATCTAATCTAACCTAAGACTTGGTTTGTTGCAGATGCAATTAATTTTCATCTTCAAAATTCATTTACCTTAAAAGAACAAAGAAAAGATTCGAGTTGAACAAAGACCAAAATTAAACAAAAATCTAGCTAGCTAGATCTTATCAGACCAAATTACCCGCATCAGGCAGACCTTGATGGAGATCATTATCTCTAGTCGAAGAAGACGACGTCGTTGTTCTTGTAGTGGAACGTTTAACAGGAGGAACAGAAGCTCGACAGACGGGACAATTAGAATGAGAATTAAGCCACAAATTAATACAATCAAGATGAAAGCTATGTTTACAGGCGCTTAATTGCTTCACTTCTTCTCCGTCGTTAAAAACAGACAAACAAACAGGACACTCGCTTCCAATATCTTTTACGTGAGTCTCTTTTTGATATTTAAGATCGGAAACCACTTCTTTACTCTCAGTTGGATTCTCTCCGCCGCCGGTGGAAAATTCCTCGAAGCCACTTTGGCTCCGGCTCCGGCGACTCCGAAAAGGGCTGGGCGGGCACTTGATAGAGAAATAGAAGGTGTAGATCAAGGCGGGAATGGTGATGACTGCAATCAGAGCAAGAATGAATTCGAGAGGGGATAAATCGACTTTTCTAGGAGGACCAGGAAATGGTGGAGGTTGAGGAGCAAAGAAAATGGACGGTGAATTATCCATGAAAGTGAAGGAAGGTACTTTTTTCTCTTTTTTTTTTTTTTTTGGAATTTATTTAAGCAAGTGTTGGAGAGAGTGGCTGTGGCTGTGGCGGAGGTGGAGGTTTTGTCTTGGAACTTTAAGAGCAATAATTAAAAGAGGAAAGAGCTGGGAGAAGGTAAAAACGACAAAGTTTTGCTCACCATTGTGATGCTACGTGTGTTGGTAGCTCCAAAATAACGAAAATAGTGGTTTTGGAATAATAATGGTAATAAAATAATAATAATAATAATGTCAACAGGCTCTCTCGTGTTGGTTGGTTGTTTCGATTTTTTTTTTTTTTTTAAACTATATAGCTGTCTGGACTTTATTACTAGGGATCGTATAATTCAGTTCCAAATTTAATAACAGTTAAGGCTTTTTTTAATTTCTATTTCAATTAATTTGGATTAGAGATAGGACAATTGACCTTAAAGCCCTTTGAGTACGATACCTCATGTTAGTATTTGATAAAATCTTAATAATTAATAGCTATTAAAATATACTTCATCCGTTTCATTTTATTTCTATGGTTTAATAAAAACGCATATTAAAAATTTAGTCAATAAAAATTATTTTGTTACTTTTTATTCTTAACTCATTAAGATATTAATAAAAGTGCTCGTTTAATGAATAATCATAAAAGTTATTATGAGAAGGAAAATTGTTTAAATATATAAATTTAGAAACTTTGTAAACATTATGAAACATCCAAAAAAATAATAACAAGCAAATAAGATGGGACGAAGGAAGTAATTGTTTTTAAAATTTTAAAGTAAATATATTATTTTATTTTAATAAATTATACAAATAAATAAATTATTATTATTTTTTCAAATAATATTTAATAAAAATTATTATTTTAGACCAAATATAAAGATAATTAAAAATTTTATTTAAAAAAAATTATTACTTATTATTTTATAAGATTAATGAAGTATAAATATAATATAAATATAAACTACCACTTGATACCAAAAAGCTCAAAAATAAAATATAAAATATTACTACTTCTATTCCATAATACTTGTCATATTTGTGGTTTCAAATAGTAATAAATGATTTTTTTTTCATATTTACCCTTTGTATATGACCAATAATTATTTAATGACTACCACTTGATACGCCCAGAATAAGATCTCAAAAACTCTAACAGATATAAATATATTTTACTACTTCTCAGTTCCATATATATCTTTCATCATTTCGCTGTCTGCGTTCTCAAACTAGTCAATAAATGATTTTTTTATTCATATTGTACCCGTTATGTATATGACCGAATAATTATTACTTCAATTTAATTAGTTTTTTTTATAAGAATTTAATATTAAAAATAGAGTAATTATAGTCTACATGTTATCGACTAAGTTCTATAATAATTTAGACCACATTTTAATGGTTTTTTTAAAGAATGCTGACATTGTCAAATGCTGCATAAGATATAATAATGACCAATAATTATTACTTCAATTTAATATTTTTTTAAAGAATTAATATTAAATTAAGAGTAATATAGTCAATTTAGTCGATAATTTATAATAATTTAGACACATTTAATGGTTTTTTTAAAGAATGTGAAATTTCAAATGTGATAAATAATATAAAACAAAAATAAAAGTACTGATTATTTTAAAAGTTATTAAATAATACTAATTATTTTAATAACTGTTATAATAACTGTTAATTATTCTATTAACGTACCCACCGATTGTTATGCTGTTTAAAGAGTGGGTTAAATTTGTGAGACATAAATTTGATAGAGGGAGAAGAAATTCGGGCTTAATATAAAAATGAGAAATGGGTTTAATCATGAGAAGCCCTTATTTTCCGTGAAAATCTTTTTATGTCACAACTGGGTATTTTAAAATTTGAAATGCACAATTTGTAAGATAATTTTACAGATAATATTTTAATAAAAGAAAATCTTTTGAGTGCAATTTTAAAAAACTAAAAGAAAGACATTTTTATATAAGGTTAAATAGGCATAATCCTTCTTTATATTTTAACAAAAGTCTATTGATCCTAAACAAAATCACTAATCACTAGGATATTCAATTCTCAAGATTGCTTTAATTTTTGATTTTTAATAAATATATTATGTTTCTGAAAAATAACTTACTTTTGACAATATTTTCCTTAAAAAAATATTTTTCAAGGAAAATATTTTCTTTAAAAAAATTTTTTAAAATAACTTATCGTCTGTTGTTAGATTGTAATTTTGAAAATTAATTAAAAATATTAAAATTTTTAACTCATATTGTTAATGAAAATAATCCAAAAAAAAAAGGTAAATTATAAAAAGTTACAAATGACCTGTGGTGGTGGCCGGCGAATGGTGGCAGTGGCTACCGATGATTAATAAATTAAAAAATATATGGATTTATAAAGTTATAATAAATTTGTCGAAGTTCGAAAAATATTTTACGCTCTTGAAAATAGGAAGCTATTTTCCTTAAAAATGATTTAATTTTTCTTTGATCAAGAAAATATTTTCTATTGATTTATTTTTCTGAACGCTCTAAATAACAAAAAATTATGACAAATATTTTTCTGCAAATTATTTTACGGAAACAAACGATGCGTAAGATTAACTTAAATCTTCATTTGATGAATTTTTCAATAAAAATTCCTGCAAAAGACTTAGCAAAATTGATTTAGTAAATCATTCGATTTATGATTTTGTTAATTATGAAAATAGAGTGTTGTAAAAATCTTGAGCCAATAAAAAGTTCTTTAGGACCAAATCAAAAACATTATCGATATCATATTTTTTCTATCAGCATTTCAAATAAAAGAACAAAGCCCATAGCCTAATTTATTAAGCCATTCAAAGAAATGCATTTAGAGAATCTAATGACCAAAAATAACTACGCTGTCTTTTTTGTTTATCATCTTATATTTTCATGTGCAAAGAATCAAAACCACTCCTTAAAATATCTAATTAATCTTAAAGAAAGTGATTGCATAGTTCATCTATACGGAGATAATGTTTGTCCAACTTGGTTTCGTTATGGTTTTTACAGAGTCAATTAGATATAGGAGTGAAAGAATGGAAGTTGCTTTGATAGTCAAGTGATAAATGTTGGTGTTAGGGATTATAAAGTATCTGGGATATTTTTATAATTTTTTTTTAGTAGTACAATTTTCCCTTCGATACTCTATTTATTTTCTCTCCAATTTAGAGAGGTGGGCAAAAAGGAAAATGCAGCAAATTTTAACTCTGGTTTCCAAACAAAGGAAAATTAGTTTCGCTCGTTATTTTCATTGATATTTTCTTTCCTCCCAAATAATCCACCTAGAGTAACAAGTTAAAAAACTAATTCTTTTATCCTGGTAATTACTATTGTTGTCCCTAGATGTCAAGCAAATATATTAGCAAGTATTTTAGTTGTTAAAATTACATTATTTAATTCATGCATTATAATTCTGTCACATTAATAGAACCTTTTGTCAAAATTCTTTCATTTTTTAATCAATATTGTTAACATACAATAATAAAATATATTAAAATAATAATACTAGACTCCTAAATAAACTTTAAATAATAGATGGTACAGGATTCATAATCCTTGTCCTAATACGATTATCTTGGATCCAATATATATACCCCAAATTTACTCCAAAAAGGAGCGAATTCACAATTTCTTACACTTCAATTTCTGAGAGCTTAACAATTGGTGCTGTGAGCATGGAACATACCTTCACACCCTAAAAACCCTGATCCTTGTCACTCTTGAAAGCTATGACTAACGATTCAGGCGATCATCCTACCATGGAAGGCCAAGGCGATGGCCGTGACGAGGCAATTATGCAAATCATATTGGTTCCTCCACCAACAATTGATCTTCAGGTGGCGGCAGACTTAGCGTATGCCTACGCTCAATTCACCACTGTGCTAAAACACTTCTTAGAGATGCCACCTCCTACCTGCGAATTGACACCGCCAGACAGACCACTAAACCCTCCTCATCGAGAGCACAACATACCTCCGCCACCACCTAAGTCACAAAGTCGTCTAATATCTAAACGATTCTAGGAAGCGGAGTCGAAGGCGAACCCTAGCGTAATCGCCCCTTACAGTCAAGAATCGAGCCACACTCAGCCAGTCTTGGATAGTGCTAATCTTTGTAATGTTGTCAAAGAGCTGGTTAGAGAATGTTGTGAGACAGGAGAAGCAGGAGATTACGGTTTGCGGCAGGACTTGCCATTATCAGCCAATATTTTAGGCATAGCGTTTCCTTCAAAATTCAAAATTTCGACCTTCCAACCATATGACGGATTTACAGATCCTCAAAGTCACCTGGTGACCTTCCGAATCATGATGTATCTCCAAACCGACTCGGAGAACATCATGTCCAAAGTTTTTCCAATCACACGAAAAGGGGCAGCACAAGAGTGGTACCAAAACACGTAAAACAGGGTCCATTCAATCATTCTCACAGCTAGCCATGGCGTTCCGAGCTCGGTTTATAATAAGTGTACCATCTAGGAAAATATCATTCGACCCAGTTGACTTGAAAAAGGAAGAGGGGGAGACTCTGAGGTAGTATGTCTCTAAGTTCCAAACGATGGTGATGCAGGTGGAAAATTTGAATGATGAGATAGCTATCAGTGTTATGGCCAAGAATTGCAGGTACAATAAGTTATTTGAGAGTCTGAGTATAGATCCACCTTTGACTTTTGCCGAACTCATGGCACGAGCCTACAAATACATAAAACTAGATGAAGCCCACGAAGCTCAGCATTGTAGATCGCCTAAAGAGGAGAACCTCAAGCATAGAAGACACCCTTCCTCAGTGAGCAGACACTCGCCTAGGAGGAGATCGCCCCTAGCATAAAAGATGCTCGCCTAGGATAGAAGATGCTTGCCTAAGATGTAAAGTAACTTTATATTTAAATAATAAAAGGACCTCGAGTTTTTTCACTTAATGCATCATACCTTATAAAGGTAAGCAAAACATGATGCATTAAGTTTTTCTTGAAGGATCTTACTTAGAAACTTTTCAGCATTCTTTTTAGTTCTTCAGTTCAGACCTAGGCGGTCCTTTAACTAAGTCGATCAATTCAGACAAAACTGGTACTATAGCTCGGACCTAAACGGTCCTTTAACTAAGTCCATAGGTCGGACATACATGGTTCTCCTGCTCGAACCTAAGCGGTCCTTTAACTAAGCCCATATCTCGGACATACCTAGTTCACCCAGATGACCTAAGCAGTCCTATTCACTAAGTCCATGGCTCGGATAGCTCGCCCAAATGACGTAAGCGGTCCTATTTGCTAAGTCCATAGTTCGAACATGCATAGTTCGCCTAGATGACCTAAGCGGTTCTGTTCACTAAGTCCATAGCTCAGACATACCTAGTTCGCCCAGATGACCTAAGCAGTCCTGTTCACTAAATCCATGGCTTGGACATATTTAGCTCACCCAGATGACCTAAGCAGTCCTGTTCACTAAGTCCATAGCTCGGACATACCTAGTTCGCCCAGATGACCTAAGCAATTCTATTTACTAAGTCCATGGCTCAGACATACCTAGCTCGCCCAGATGACCTAAGCGGTCCTATTCACTAAGTCCATAGTTCGGACACACATAGTTCGCCTAGATGATCGCGGATAGCTCGCCCAAATGACCACGTTATAGCGGTCCTATTTGCCTAAGTCCATGTTCGAAACATGCATAGTTCGCCTAGGATGACCTGAACAGCGGTTTCTGTTCACTTCACCAGCTTCACTTAGCCCCCAGGACATACCTTACGTCGCCCCAGATGCACTCTAACGCAGTCCCTGGTTCACTACAAATCCATGGCTTGGACATTATTTAAGCTCACCCAGAATATGACCTAAGCATCCTGTTCACTAAGTCCATAGCCTCGCGACCATATCCTAGTTCGCCCCAAGTATGACCTAAGCCAATTCTATTTACTTAAGTCGCATGGACTCAGATTTTCGGATACCTAAGGCTCGCCCCAGCATGACGCTAAGCGCTAGCTCGCCCAGATGACCTAAGCGGTCCTATTCACTAAGTCCATAGTTCGGACACACATAGTTCGCCTAGATGACCTAAGCGGTCCTGTTCACTAAGTCCATCGCTCAGACATACCCAGTTCACCTAGATGACCTAAGCGGTCCTATTCACTAAGTCCATGCCTCAGACATACCTAACTCACCCAAGTGACCTAAGTGGTCCTATTCACTAAGTTCATAGTTTGGATACACATAGTTCGCCTAGATGACCTAAGCGATCCTGTTCATTAAGTCCATAACTGGGACATACCTAGTTCGCCCAGATCACCTAAGCGGTTCTATTCACTAAGTCCATAGCTTGGACACACCTAGTTCGCCCAGATGACCCAAGCGGTTTTATTCACTAAGTCCATGGCTCGGACATACCTAGCTCGCCCAGATGACCTAAGCGGTCCTATTCACAATTCGGACACGCATAGTTCGCCTAGATGACCTAAGTGATTCTGTTCACCAAGTCCATAGTTCGGACATACCTAGTTCGCCTAGATGACCTAAGCAGTCCTGTTCACTAAATGACCTAAGCGGTCCTATTCACAATTCGGACACGCATAGTTCGCCTAGATGACCTAAGTGATTCTGTTCACCAAGTCCATAGTTCGGACATACCTAGTTCGCCTAGATGACCTAAGCAGTCCTGTTCACTAAATCCATGGCTTGGACATACCTAGCTCGCCCAGATGACCTAAGCGGTCCTGTTCACTAAGTTTATAGCTCAGACATACCTAGTTCGCCCAGATGACCTAAGTGACTTTATTTACTAAGTCCATGGCTCGGACATACTTAGCTCGCCCAAATGACTTAAGCGGTCCTATTCACTAAGTCCATAGTTCGAACACACATAGTTCGCCTAGATGGCCTAAGCGATCTTGTTCACTAAGTCCATAGCTCGGACATACCTAGTTCACCGAGATGACCTAAGCGGTCATATTCACTAAGTCCATGGCTCGGACATACCTAGCTCGCCCAAATGACCTAAGCGGTCCTATTCACTAAGTCCATAGTTCGAATACACATAGTTCGCCTAGATGACCTAAGCGGTCTTGTTCACTAAGTCCATAACTCGGACATACGTAGTTTGCCTAAATATCTCAAGCAGTCTTCTAGTTCAGCTCGGACATACCTGGCTCGCCCAAATGACCTAAGCGCTCCTATTCACTAAGTCCATAGTTCGGATACACATAGTTCGCTTAGATGACCTAAGCGGTCTTATTCACTAAGTCCATAGCTTGGACATACCAAGTTTGCCTAAATATCTCAACCAGTCCTCCAGTTCGACTTGGACTTAAGCAGTACTTTAGTTTGGCTTGGACTTAAGCAGTCCTCCAGTTCGGCTCTAGTTTGACTCGGACTTAAGCAGTCTTCCAGTTCAACTCGGACTTAAGCAGTCCTTCAGTTAAAACGCTCCTTTTAGCCCATAAAATTTTAAGTTAAAGTAACTTAAACAGGTTCACCCTTAGGGATTATAAGGAGAACTTTGCTTTGACAATTTACATATACTACTCCGGTCCAGTGGAAAATATTTTATCAGAAACGCTTAGAAATTGAAATTACACCAACATTCAAAATCATACAAAAAGGATAAATAAAAGAGTTATTGATTAAATAAACTGAAAGGAAATGACTCTTGAGGTTCTCTTTAGGCAGATGAACCATCACCCGGTTTCTCCTAAATAGAACCATCGCTGAATTGACAAGAATAGACAAGGAACTCCATGCTCAAAAAGTACCTATAATAACTAGTAATCACAGTATAAAAAATAAAGTATAAATATATAATATAACACATGACAACATCTTTTGGACATAAATGACCAAATAACTAAAGGGGGACTACTGTTAATATACAATAATAAAATATATTACAATATAATATTATACTCCTAAAATAAATTCTAACTAATAGATAATGCAGAATTTGTAATCCTTATCCTAGTATGATTATCTTGGATCCAGTATATATACCTCAAATTTACTCTAAAAAGAAGCGAATTCATAATTTACTACACCTCAATTTCTGGGAGCTTAAAAAATATAAAAATAATAATGATAAATGTAAAGGTCAAATACCGCAAATGTAATTATATAAAATACCTTTATAACAACTATTTAAACAAGTATAATAGGTTGATCATCCATAGCCAAAATAATATAATTTTGAAAACTAAGATCTTTACTAGTGTATTTCATCCAACCCTAGGAACTACATATTAATTAGTCTTAAGATACTTTTGATATTTTCAATTACTGAAAATTTAATTGTTGAGACTTTATATTATAATGGAATGATAAGAGATTAGATAATACAATTTTAAAATCCATATTTTTAGTAGTGTAATTGACCAAACCCTAGGGACTAAAAAGTAACTATACCATTTTTTAATTTATGCAAGGAATAAAGTAATGCAGTATTGCTTTTATTAAAAAATTTTGACATATAAAAAATAATTATAAATAGATTTTCAAATTAAAATTTAATAGTCAAAATAATATCTAACAATGAATATTCATTGGTAATACTTGTTGTATTAACTTAGTGTAATAAAATTGGTGATAACTTTTTTAGATATAATATGATTAATCAGATCACACATGATTGACTATTGATTCGATATATTTATTATGTGAAAAAGTGCACGTTGATTTAATATATTTATTATGTGAAAAAGTGCACGTAGCTAACTGTAGATCAAGTTTCAAATCTCCTTTTTCAACACTAAATAAATAAATAAATAACTGAAATTTTAAATAAACTTCTATCAATTAAAAAAATTGAATAGAAAGATAAAAAAAATTTTGCAGTTTTAAAAACAAAAAATTACTTTTTGTAAATTCTATAGTTTAACCTTCAATTCCTTAATTTTTTACTTATTTGTTTTCCTTGATTCAGAACTTCAAAAATTTAAATTGTCGGCATTCCTCCCTATTACTCTTTGGTGCATTGAATCTAGTCAACAATTTTTGGCCACTTACTTAGCTAGTTAACAATTTGTATTTGACTTTTCCAGTGAAATATTCAATGGTCAAAAATGTTGATGGTGTAATATTACTTAGCTAAATGATAAAATAAATAAATATCCCTAACTCTTAAATGACAGATATCCCTTCTACCTTAAGTAGAGTCTCGAGTTCGAGTCTTAGATATGGATTTGAATTTTAGATATGGAGTTTCTTTAAATACTAAGGAGGGAGCATTTTGCCCATTTTATAGATCTACTCAGCGTGAATTCGATTAATTGGATCAATGGACTTTGAATACCAGATGATTAAAATAAAAAAATAAATATCCATATTCACTTTGTAAAAGACATTGTGCATCCACTTTTCTGAGACGCTAGCAGAAATTCTCTCTAAGCAAAATTATGAAAGCTTACTACTAAAGTAATTTAAATAAACTAGAGTGAATGACTTTTAAACTCCACTTTATATAAAGTCGGATTTACAATTATTAGAGTTTTATAGTATCAATGAACCATAAGGTCGAACTAATACAAAATCAAACTTAATTATAACAGTCTAGAATAAAAAGGCATTATTACTAAAAAAAAAAGCCTGAATTTTTAGTTTTTTTCAAGTTTGATCAATACTTTTAATCTTGTCAATAAATATCCTACATTTATTATTTATTGTCAATTATGGATTTTGTCTAGATTCTGATTGGGTGCGGTTGAGTGATGCATGATGCGATTACTAACGGTGCGAGTTGCTCGATGAGGATCCATCAAGAATTCGTTAATCGTATAACCGTATCAAATTCTTTCAAACTTACAGTTGGATGGGCAAGAGATTGTCTCAATAATGTAATAGTTTAACTTATATTCCAAAAGTAAGGATGAACGGGTAAATAATAATCACATGGATGTGAACTGACATGTTCGGGTGCCAACAGTTAAATAAGCAACAAAGTGATGAACTCAGAATAAAAACCGTAATTGATAAGGAAAAATAAATCTGCGATGGTAATTAATAAAATTAAATGTATTAGCTAAATTAATTTGCGAAAAACGTCAAAATTCATAGATTGTTTTAGTGATTTAACCTATCAAAAATTACCCTCCCAAATCCGACACATGATGCGATTCCTGAGGTGGAGTCCCATCGAGATCCGATAATAATACGACTACATTTACATTCTGCAGAGGTAAATTATAATTAGTCCGACAAAGCGGACAATTAGAGTGTGAACTTAGCCACATATCGATGCAAGCTTCATGAAACGAATGCAAACATTCAGGTAATACTCGAATTGTTTCGCCTTCATTAAAATCAGACAAGCATACTGAACAAGTTTCTTCATTGCATTGTTTGGTATATCTACAAGAAGGAATTCTCGTCACCGGTGCGCTTCTAGTGCTACTAGTCCTTTCTCGGCTATTTCCAGGATTTTGGTCTCTGTTTGGGTTTGGTGAGTTTGTAGATCCCCTTGATTGGTACCCACAAAGTACAATTATGCAATGGAAAGTTGCAACCAAAATGGCTCCACAAAGAACACCAACAAGGCTAATAAGAATCGGGTTAATTTCGATCCCATGGTGATGATCTTCATCCATCAATTGAAAGATTCGGACAAGGACAACAATTTCAGAGATAGGTGAGTTTACTTAATTATAGCCTTGTATATTGTCTTTATGTCTTGTATACATGTCTAATGCTACAAAAGAAAGGCCTCCCCTTTATTTGTTTATGACCATTATAGTTTAATTTTGTGACAAAACTCCATTTTACTCTTCTATCATATGCATATTTAATGTGTTACTTATTTGTTTGCTAGATGAGATATTATGAAAGGATTCCAAGATTGGCTTTGAATTTTTAGCAGCTCAGACAAGTATTTGACTACTAAGTTATGATTTAGTGACCTATTTATTTACATTATTCAATTAACAACATTAGAAATGATTATCATTGAAATTTGAGGAGAGATTGAATTTGAAATCCAATTAGAACTAAATAATCACTCACTCATATGAAAGATAAAATTAGTATTCAAATGGAGAAAATGAACTCTTTGGATTTTCAAAGAACTGAAAATTGGTAGCTTTGAGAGTCATTTGATGTTGGAGCATTTAGAGAGAATGATATCAATAGTTTTTCATATTTCTATCCTAATTTTATCAAAATTTCAGATTTACTTCTGAAGAGTAACTTTAATGTATATATAATTTACCTAAAAAAAGTATGAAAAAAATGAATACTTACTTTTATAATGTCATGATCTCATTGATTAGATTTGTCAAACCAAACAAAATAAAGATTTTTTTGAAAGTTATTCCTCTTTATCATTTTTTCCTAATGAATAGTATGAAATATCATCGTTTGAATAAGACATTATTTTTAATTGATTTGGTTCGTAGCTAGACGTATAAATAGGGCTTAAGCAAGTGAATCACTAGTCTCGTAATGTTAAAGTAGCAGTTTTAGTTTTTAGCTTGTCTAAATCAATGTGAATCTCTTTAATATGGGATATATTTCACCATACAAATTTTGTTACATATGGTGGAAGGTTGAAAAGTTTGACTCTAGTATTACTTGTATTTAAAAATTTTAATATATTAGGAAAATATTTAAAAGAAACAAGAAATATCAAAATTTAAACTTTCTACTTACTATGAGACAAAATATTGAATCATTGGATGGCTGAGTTAATATGTACTTTTTCTTCATTACTTAATAGTTATTAGAGATGTAGATCCAAAGCTATGGTCATAGTATTTAAAGTAATCTTCAAATTGGCAAAGTTTTGGGCTAATCCACATATCAACGCAAAGCACGGGTTAGAGAATTGCGGCCGAATATATAATTTAGTTCTTGAAATTTAAAAGAAGGATTTTGTAGCGCCCTAAATTTTAAAATCGACTCTGCAGCACTTTGAATTTTAATTTTGTACTAATATCACACTGCATCGTGCCGGTAACCATAATTTTTTTAGGTTTTTGATTTTTATGTATAAAATATTGAGTTGATATGCAGTTATTATAATTTTTGGTACTATAATTTTTATATTTTTAACTATCTAATAAGTGTTTAATTAATATAATTTTATAAGTTAAATGTCCAATAGGTTAATCAAAGTGTTTAATATTTGCAATTTTATAAATTAAAATGTTTGATAAGTCAAAATAAAAATGAATGCGTCACAAAGTTTTTCGTGAAAAGTATAAGGGTGAATTTATGTATTCAGAGAAATTTCGTATTCGTTGGATAAAGATTTTTCCTTTCCTTTTTTTTTTTTCTCTTTCTTTTAAAGTTTTATCTCAGTTTGTTTTCCTTTTTTACCCTTTTCCCATGAACGCATACACAGAACCCAGCCAGAACCCAGTACCCACTGTGCCCAAACTCTGGTTATTGAGACTGAGGATTGGACTAGGCTCATGGGCTTGGACACAAATAGTTGTCGGCCTCTGGGTTTGGTTGGTGCCTGCACGTCAAAGGCTATTATTATTATTATTATTATTATTATTTTGTTGAATCAAAATTGGTCCGGACTATTGATTGGATCAATTTTGGTTAAAATTTTCATGGAATATAATCGGGATCAGCCCACTTTCATTTTTCATTGCAAAATCCCAGCTGATTCTAGTTGGTGATTCGAGCTGTTTCCCTCCACACGATAAAGCTTATTCTTATTGTCTAGCGACCCACCTCAATCCCTGTTATTTTGAACTCATATCTAAAAATTTGAAATGAAGTTGTGCATGCTTAATGTTATCCTTACATAGATGGGAAATATACTCCCATAGCAAGTATTTATAACTATAAATATATTTATTCATGTAATGCATATTCCGAGAATACACAAACGTGAGTCATGTGTAAAATTCAACATATATATATAAAAGGGAAAGAAAAAGTAATACTATCATTATTATTATTATTTTTATATAAAGAAGAGGAACATTATTAAATATATAAGAATGGCAGCAATCAAGAAGGTGGATAATGAAGTAATAATACTACTTTGGCTATGAAATATGAATGCAGCATTGAGAATTTATTGATTAATAGATTTTTTGTAATTGGCACATCTTAATTTATCCAACTAACTTCATTCCAAAAAGAAAACAAAACATTGCCCATGTGATGTGATTCCACTTTGACTGACTGATACTTTTTGCATTGTGATCTGATCGAGTATGATCCCAAATCAAACCAATTTCTGTCAAGATCACACCTTAGCTGGTTTCAATAATTGAATTTTAATTGTTTCTATCTCTTTTTACAGTTTTCAATTTTAATTTTTAAGTTCATGAAAATTTAGATGGTATCTAATAAATGTATTTTAATTAGTAAGAATTTAAAAATTAAACTTTAATGATATTTCGATTATTTTTGAAGACAAAAGCATCTGAACAACATCTAGGTGACATCTGAGGCTTTATATGCATTATCATTTGTATTTTGTTTATAGAAATGGAAATAGAAATATTTAATAATTCAATAATTGGATTAATTACGGTTAATATTTTCTCTTGTATTAATTAATATTTTCACTTTTTTAATAGAAAAAAATTATTCAACATGATTTACTTAACACATACAGTAAAATAATAGAGAAAAAAATTTATGTTGAAAAATATGTTTAATTAATTGATTCATTTTATATTTAGAAAAATACATATTATTTTTTTCATATTACTATTACTTTTTTTTTTTTTTGAAAGGACATATTACTATTACCTTAATAAGTAAGAGAAAGCAATTTTTACAGGATATGGTTTGAAATATATATAAGAAATGCATCTAGAATTTTAGAGAAAAAAATGGATTGGAAATACTCGATTTCTGGGATGGGAATACCCGGTTTTTGAGATAGGATGGAACTTAGATTGATATAGATTCATTTTTAAAGAACTAATGTCGTCTCTAAATTAATTTCAGGACGGGATTATTAAAATAATATCGATCTTTATATAAGTATACAGTTAACACAATTCACTGCTGTTTTTTTCTCTCATAATGTCCACGGGGTTGATCGTAGGAGGCTCAGTGATAATTTGGATTTTCGGGAGGTTCACTCTTTTGGCAAATACCTTGGTATGCCTCTCTTGCATGGTAGAATTACCAGGCACACTTACCAGCATGTTCTCTATAAAGTTTCTCTTCGTCTTAATGGCTGGACTGCGTCTCAATTATCTATGGCTGGTCGCATCACCTTGTCCCATTCTGTTCTGTAGGCTTTACCGATTTTCTCCATGCAAACCACTTGCCTTCCACAGAGGGTGTGCAACGCTGTTGATAAAGCTTGCCGCAGTTTTATTTGAGGCTTGACTGAGAGTAATCGCAAACTTGCTCTTGTTTCTTGGCAGCGAATTCAGACCCCTAAGTTGTCTGGTGGATTAGATTAGGCTTTAGGAGTCTCTCTACTCTTAATTCTGCCTTTATGAAGAAATTATGTTGGGGTGTTATTTCCAATCAGCAGGCTCTGTGGGTGCAAGTCTTGCATTCTAAATATAAGATGGGAGAAGATTTAATCCCTATGGATATTTCTTGTAAGGCGTTGTTTGTTGTGGCGAGAGGTATTCAGCGTTTGCTGCCAACTGTCAAGGCGGGTATGGTTTGGGCTCTTGGTAATGGTAATCGAGTTCTTTTTTGGTTAGATGCATGGCTGGGTGTTGGTATTATTTTACTTCATGAAGCTATTTCTGATATTCCGTCTTTTATGCATAATGATCCGGTTAGTGCTTATGTCACTGAATCAGGGCATTGGGATCTTGCTCTCTTGCGCTTATACCTTGATGCAGGGACGATTAGTCGTCTTATCGCCATCCCAGTCCCTTCGCCGATGCTTGGGGAGGATAGTGTCTTTTGGGGTCTGTCTAGCTCGGGGCAGTTTTCTATTAAGACGACTTATGATTTCTTGTCTGATAATAATCAGCTTGATTAGGATCGCATTTGGAAACTCGTGTGGAAATGGCATGGCCCGTAGCGGGTGAGAAGCTTCTTATGGTTATTAGTTCATGACTGAATTCTCACTAACATGGAAAGAAGACGACGACGCTTAACGGAAGATGATATCTGTCCTATTTGTGTTTTGAGTACTGAGTCCAGTATTCATACGGTCAGGGACTGTTCTATTGCTGTTGTGGTTTGGCAAATGATTGTTCCTCCAACAGGGTGGTCGGGTTTCTTTGCTCAAGACTTAGATTGTAAGGAGCGGCTTTTACGGAATCTGCAGCGCACTGATTGGAGGGTCAGAGACATTCATTGGTCATCTCTGCTTGGTGGTTCTTATGGAAGGGAAGGAATAATATGGTTTATAATGATTCTCCCTTGTCTGCTTCTGCTTTTGTTAAGTTGGCGACCAATATGGCTAGAGATTATCTGGCTTTCTCAAGCGTTTGCCCCAGTTTCACAGTTTCCCCTACTGTTAATACTTGGATTTCTTGGAGTTTGCCTCCCCACTCTTTTGTCAAAGTAAATACTGATGCTTCACTCCCTTACCTTGGAGGATCGGCTTTTGTTGGGGATCTGATAAGGGATGGTTGAGGTAGTTGGATTTCCAGTTTCACTGCTAATGTTGGTACTACAACAGTGCTTGGTGCTGAGTTGTGGGCTTTGCTTCCTGGGATCCGTTTGGCCATAAGTCGAGGCTTGACGCATGTTGTTTCGGAATCAGACAGTTTATTAGCCATCCAATTTCTTCAGGGTGTTTTATTCCTCCCGGCTCAATATCGTTCTTTAGCTGGACATATTCTTCTCTGTCTTCGCTCCTTATCTTAGTTTCATATTGCTCATATTTACTGTGAGGCAAATTCTTGTGCTGATTGATTGGCTCTCTAAGAATGCTGGATCTGCCCCTTCGAGTTTTCAAGTTCATGACACTCCTCCTGCTGGTCTCCGTCCATTGCTGCTTAATGATCTTTCTGGTATTGTGCAGGTTCGTTTGTGTTCTACCTAGTGTTGGCTAGCCTCTCCATTTTCACCAAAAAAAAAAAAAAAAAAAAATGGCTCTCTAAAGAATGCTGGATCTGCCCCTTCGAGTTTTCAAGTTCATGACACTCCTCCTGCTGGGTCTCCGTCACCATTGCTGCTTAATGATCTTCTCTGGTATTGTGCAGGTTCTTTGTGTTCTTACCTAGTGTTGGGCCTAAGCCTCTCCATTTTCACCAAAAAAAAAAAAAAAAAAAAAAATTTGTTATTATTATGACATTGTGCCAAGAAAAAAAAAAAAAAAAAAAAATTGTTATATTATGACATTGTGCCAAGTAGGATGGATTTTGAGTATATAGCGGTTTATAAATTCAAATTGAAGTATATATATATGAAATTATGTTTCTAATACTATAAAAAATTAGATAATATAAAAGAAAATTTATATTCTTTCCATCCCATAATTCTAGTCCCATTTTCTTTTTTTATTTACCCCAAATTGTTATTTTTTTCCCTTTTTAAAAATGAATAATATTTAAAGTTTATTATATTTTACCTTTATTTAATACGCTTCCTTATCAATAAATAAATAGTCAAATTACTTATTGTCAAATAAATAAATAAATAAATATTTTACCCTTACCTGAATATTATTCCAGATTTGGTGTAGAGGTGTGCAAACTTTAGAAAAAGGAAAAAATATTTAAACTTATTATATTGTTTTAATTATAAATATAATATTAACTTTTATCTCATTTTGAAAAATCTCTCTTATTTGCACATAATTGACACTAAATTTATGAACCAAGACAAAATTGATAAAGACAAAAGTTCTGAACAAAATCATAAAAATTTTAATTTTTTTAGTGATTAAACCAATTAATATCATATTAGAGTCTTATACCTTAATTAATTAAATAATAGATTGTGTGTAAGTGCCATGTAGATATTAGAATGTCCTGGACTATAAGTTCTAGACTCCAATTGATGCTCGTTAATCTCAAATCAAGCCTATTCTTATCTGATATGAAGAAAGAAGAAAAAGAAGATGTTACAGCTGAAAAAGAAAACGAAAAAGAAAAAGAAAAAGCATAAGCTCCAACTTCAATTATTTTTCTTATCACTTTCTACCCTTTCCTTCTTTCAAGTTACAAGTTATTAAGTTAGTAAGTTTTTAGCAGTAAATAAGTTGTTAGGTCAAGTCTTAATTAGCTAGTAATTACTACACTTTTCCCGCCAACTATTTTTGTGTATAAAATCAAGATAGCTGCTTCACAACAAACACCAAATTCATTTTCTCCAAATTAATATGTGATATGATATCATAAGATTCGCTTATCTATACCTGATTTATAAGTCAATTTACATATCAAATTAATGAAAAATAATTTTGCATTGAAACGATTAATGAAAAATAATTTTTCATTAAAACGAAGGTGTTTTTTACAATTTACTGACAAAAAGAATAAAGTGAGAATGAATTTTAAAAGAACTTTGCTTTGATTGATTTGATCTACGTATGGACCCATAGGCTAAATATAGACAAGTGTAATTTTGGTATTAGAACAAGTCGGACCTAGTTCAATTATTCCTCAATTTATGGTGCTGCCACTTTGTATTACTTCAGTTAGCCTGGATGTCTAGTCCTAATAAGACCCATGTTTTTTTTAAATTTCAGGGGAGAAAGCTCAATCTGTTTCAAATGAAGGATTTTAAATTTTAAGTATCGACTGGATATCTTATCTCAGTTCCACTTAAATGGAGTATTAAGAATGCCATCTTGTTAAGATACCAAATCCATAAAGTGCATGTACATTAAGGCATAATTTAGTAGTAAGTGCATGTATGACCTGACAATACATCTAATTTCCAATTCGCCTCTCATATACTCAAAAATTCATAAAGTGCAAATAAAGGAGAAAAGCTAGTTAATTAATTAGTTTTCTTTTTTAAAATAAGTTGAGTACATCATGATATTACTATGAGAATAAGAAATATAAATATAGAAAATTGAAATATTCTCTTTGGAGATGTTATTGATCTTGGTAGAAGAGGTCAATCTTTCGAGTAAAAATTAGTCTATTTTCAAATAAAACGACAAAAGAAACTTTTCAATTGTTCGGAATATTATATTTTCAGAAACTTGTTACAACTTACACTCATAGAAGAGTTTAATATATTAAACTTAATTTAATGGAGGCACATACTGCATTACTAGGCTCCATTGGAAAAAAAAGCTTACCCGAACTTGAAGATCTAAAGTCTCCAACCACAAGCAACTAACAATCCATTTTGTATTTTGAACTATCAGAGAGATAAAAGATCCACATAGAATCTCTTCAATAATGAGGAACAATTCCATGAAATGAGAGAAATTAATAACCCAACTAAGAAGGTACCAAAACAATCAAGGTTTATCAAATATTACAAATATGAGAGATTAAATTCAAGTTTTATTACAAACGATCATTAGTTTAAAAATTATTAAAAAGAAAATTAAATTAAATAAAGAAAAACGGTAGAAAAAGACGGAAAGAAACCACAAAGGGACCGAAAGAAACCACCGCTAACCAAAAAAGATGGTTGATAGTGGTTTCGAAAATAAAATCTATAAAAACACCAAAAAAAGAGAGAGCCAGTGAGACGACTAAGGTTTTATAATATCAATTACACATTAACATTAGTTGGCCTAAGTCCAAATTATTCAAATAATATTAGAGCAGCTCAGGCCTAGTTCAATTATTCCATTTTAATATAATTATAATTATTAATGAAAAATATATTTAGAATTTTTTATATGAGATGCTATATAATTGTGAATATATTTTTGGTTTTATTGATCGATAAAATTATAAGTGTATTACATAGGTTCTCATCTTTATTTTTTTAAATATATTAGAAATAACTGAAAGTAAAGGAGTTTTTTTAGTGTTTTTAGGTAGCGTTTGTTGTTGTTTTTAGTTTTTCATTTAATTTTGATTTTTAGTAATAATTTTTCACTTTCGTTGGTACTCTTGATTAAGGCAGCTATCAGTATATAGTAATAGTAATAGTAACCCAAAAATGTTATGAACATATAGGGAAAAAGCTCATAAAAAAATCAGTTTCAAAAATAAAAAATAAAAAATCAGAAACAGTTTTCTGTTTCTTAAAAATAAAAATAAAAAACAAAAATAGTAACAAACAACCCCTTAGTCTTTTACATATATGTGTTATTCATAATATTATATCACTCGTCCTAATTGACCAATAATGAAAAAAGATTACAAAATAACGAAGAAACTTATTTACAGTCAAAAGTAAAGTGAATTTTAATTATATACTTATATGAATTTAAAGTCATATAAAAAATGTTTATATAATATGGAATATATTATTATGTATGTGTTGTGTTTGCATCAAAGAAAACGAAGAAGCAATATTAACTGCATTATTGATGAGAAAGTATGCAAAGGCATTCCCGGCGTTCGAAAATAACTTTTTAAGTAAATTTTAGTTAAAAGGTTAAACGTTATTTAAATGGTTATTCAGTAACACGTCGTCTAAATTAGATTTTAGAGAATAGGATAGTGTTTTGTAAAAAGTTAACTCATGTAATATTTATCTTTTAACGTTTAATGAAAAACTACTCAGATAGCTAACAGCTAAATGCTACTAAAACAATTAATAGTTATCAAAAGAACTAATTTTACCGAATAGATCAATTATCATTTACCAATTATATTTTGGGCCTATAATTGAATTAAACTCTTCTTGGAATGGCTACATTATATATTCAAGATCTCTCCTTATAATTTAATAGAAGACTAGAGAGGAAATTATAACTAGCTACAACACTTTTTTTTTTTTTTCCTAATTTAAACAATAATAAATAAAAAATAAAATTTCAGCAACAAGCCTCGTTGGTATCACAATCAATCCTTTTTGGTTATTTGGCCCAAGCCAATAGAATTAAAATTAAAAAAATTATTTATATTATTTTGAATAGTAAAATTAAAATTAAAATTAAAAGAGACCACAAAATAAATATGCATTTATTTTAAAATAAATAAATAAATTATGCATTTATTAAAAGGAAATAGAAAATCAAGAGCAAAAGAAGCAATAGCAGCCTTAAAAGCTTTCGAAAAGTCGGTTATTATTTTAAAATTGAATAGAAATGTAGAGAAAACTTTTTATGAACCAACAGAAAATAGAAAGCAAAAGTGTTCCTATTTCCTAAGATAAGCAGAAAGCGAAAACCAACACCACAAGCACCGTCCACTACTGACCTCAAATATCAAGAGAGAGTCTCCTTGTAAAGTAAAGGTGCACCGTCACCGTCATTAAACGGCGCCTTCTAAAAGAGGTAATATCTAGTGCAGGCTTCAACCCTTACATACCGACGAAACTTCCATGTGATGAGACGGTGAGTTGCGTTTCCATTTTCTTCTTCCTTTTTTTCTTTTTTAATTTTTTCTTTTCAAACAAACAGAAAATTGAGTTCTCTGTCTTCTCATGTCTGTTTCTTTTGACGGAATATAGGAGGAAAAAAAAAGAAGAAAAAAAATAGAAAATATTAACTTTTTATTTTTTCTAGAAAAAAATTAGAAAAAAAAAGAAAAGAAAATGTTGGTTGTTGACGATGGTGATGATTCGGTGGAAATGATCCGCACCATCGCCTCTGCTCCTACTTCCTCCTCTCGAATCCTCGATTCTTTCTCCAAAAGGTATTCCTTGAAGATCCCCTCCATTTTTGTTTGTTTCAGTTCTCTGTAGGTTTTATTAGTTTACAAGATTTTTCTATTTCTAAAAAAAATCATTGGAAAATTAATAATAATAACAATCAGTAATAAGGTAGCTAAGATATTTGATGGATTTGATGATTTGGGTTCAGAATTTTCCACCTGTGTTTGGCGGATTTCGGGAGATACTTGGGTTAGGCTTAGACATAGTGTTTCTTTAGCGGTTTACAAACCTCTTTCTATAAGAAAGGTAGAGATTGAAGATAGTTTTTTTTTTTTTTTTGGTTTTTAATTTTTTATAGGGTATTTCTATACTTTTATTATTAGAGTTATATATTGAGTAAAAAAAAAAAAAAAACTTTTTTCTTCATTTGTTTGGTTTTTTCTAATTGAATTAGTTAATAAAAAAAAAGTTTGGGGGATATTGAATCTGTTCTTTGATTCTGTTTATTGGTTTTTAAGTTGTCTGATTGATAAATCTAGGGTTTTGATGGAGGAGTGATATTCTGGGAATTGATATATTAATGAGTGTGTTTATGAGGTTGTTCTTTTCTTGAATTTGGTTTCAATTTGGGTTATGGATATATTCAACCACCTACTACCAGCAATAAAACCCACCAAGCATATCAGCTGAAGCATGGGAGATTCTCTCTTCACAGCCTTGTCAATGGAGAATCATCATCCATCCACCCTCTTGTCCATGGATTCCAGTGCCTCCTCTCACGAAGAATTGGATTTAGAGATGAATCGTCAAATCGCACTTTCCCGTCCCCCTGATATCAATTTGCCACTGTCAGCTGAGCGTAGTCCGCCACCACAACAGCCGTGGAATTCAGACCCATGTGATATATTGGATGTTGGTCTTGGTCAGCAGGTTTATGAGACGGAGAGTTTCCTTAACATCCCCAAGGTTGGGAGGAAATGTGCCAAGCGAGTTGATAGTATTTGGGGTGCTTGGTTTTTCTTTAGTTTCTACTTTAAACCTGCTTTGAATGAGAAATCAAAAGCCAAGATTATCCACGAAAGCAATGTAGTTTCTGGGTTCGACAAATCTGACCTCAAGCTTGATGTTTTTATGGTTCAGCATGACATGGAGAACATGTACATGTGGGTTTTCAAGGAGAGGCCTGAGAATGCATTAGGTAAGATGCAGCTGAGAAGCTACATGAATGGTCATTCTCGCCAAGGGGAGCGTCCTTTCCCATTTAGTGTGGATAAGGGGTTTGTCCGATCACATAGAATGCAACGGAAGCATTATCGGGGACTGTCAAATCCTCAGTGTGTGCATGGAATCGAAGTTGTTCCCTCACCCAATCTAATGGGTCTTGATGAGGACGAGAAGAAAAGATGGATGGAACTTACAGGCAGGGATTTGAATTTTACAATCCCACCTGAAGCTAGTGATTTCGGTTCTTGGAGAAATCTTCCAAACACGGATTTTGAACTTGAGAGGCCACCTCCCCCCATAAAGAGCGTCTCTAATTCCCACTCAAAGAAGCTGCTAAATGTGTCTGGTCTTAACTTGTCAACTCAGCCATCCAACCATAGCAATGGTGCTGGGATGGACCTATCACCTGTCAGCAGCAAAAGGAGGAAGGACTTTTTCCCACATGGGAGTGATGATGATTGTTACTTGGCTATTAATCCTCCCTCTGATCAGATGGCAGATAGGGAACTTCACCAAAGTGAGCCACAATGGTTGCATGATTTCAGTGGGGTAATGAAGAATGTTTATGGGCCTGTGACAGCTGCTAAAACAATATATGAGGATGAAGAAAGTTACTTGATTATTATCAGCTTGCCATTTGTGGATCTGCAAAGAGTGAAGGTTGCTTGGAGAAATACCCTTACTCATGGTATAATTAAAGTATCCGGTGTGAGCACATCTGGCATGCCATTCATCAAGAGACATGACAGGACTTTCAAGCTAACAGATCCAACCTCCGAGCATTGCCCGCCTGGGGAGTTTATCAGAGAAATCCAACTTTCAACTAGAATTCCTGAAGATGCTAACATAGAAGCATATTATGATGGCCCGGGATCTGTGCTTGAGATTCTGGTGCCAAAACTTCGTGAAGGACCAGAAGAACATGAGGTTCGTGTTTGCCTTCGTCCTCACCTTGGTGGCAATGATCTCATGTTAACCTAAGATTAGGGCATTTATGGAGGTGAAAACTGCAGTAGTTGGAGCTTTATTGTTTTACTAACCATGTACCATACAGTGTATAATCTATGAAACAAAATGTGCGCCTTAGCTTTATCTCTTGCCATTTTTTTTCACTAATTGCCACGGTTTTTAGCTGTTCGTTGGTTGGCATTTGACTGTAACTTTTGTTGATTCTTGAAATTTATATATTTGATTTGACATTAATATAAAGCAATTAAACCTTGAATATCTTTGCAGAGAATTCAATATAATACTTTACTTTTGCAGTAGCTTTGAGTGATAATACATGAAGCTGTTGATATGGTGGATACTAAAGGTGTAGACTTTATTTGCTTTCTTTGTTTCTGTGTGGCCAATATTTGAATCAGAGCCTGATAAAGTTTCCATTTTTGATTCCGAGGCTTAGGAATTATCTTTTACAGATATACTTTTTTGGCTTTTGTTCAATTTCTGTTTGGAGGTGCAAAGAAAATTTACCATTTGTAGCTGGTAATGTGCAGGAAAAGCTGATAGATATTGTTTTTAGAGGTCAAGAAGAAGATGCTCATAATTGACATGAGATTGGAAATTGGCATTATTTTCCAATTGCACCAGGAAAAGAAATTGGAACTTCCAGCTATAAAACCATTTGAAGCATTCTTCGAGTTTTGGTGGGAATCATATGGAGCTTAGACGGAGAGCAACCAGAAGCAACAACATACAATTTTTTTTAACAAAAAAAAAAAAAGGCAAATTAAAATTGAAAATTTGAACTTTTCTTTGGAATATTGTGGAAGGACACTTGGAAATTTGCAACTTTTTTCCATATTACATTTACGAATGTGAATTGAGAATTGAATTGGTAATCAATTTGATACGTTTTAAATTTTTCTGTTGATGAAAAAATAATTAGAGTTTAACCTTTTCTTTAATCTTTTTTTTTTTTTTTTTTACAATAATAATTTGATAAGCTGATAGATAATTGAATTTTGTTAATCAAAAAGTCAAAAACGACATACTATAAAGAAAAGAAACATTTTTCTTCCCAACTTACAAATTGCGACATCATATCTAGCTTAAACGGTGATTGGATGAGAAGGACTTCTAAAGTAGTTTCTTTATAGGTACAGACCAAGTCAACGACCGTGTCGTTTACGCGTGGCTTTGTGGGTAAAGATAGGCGGTCGCCACGCGTCTGCTGAGAAGCACAATGGCAATTACTTTCATTTGCCCACTTTTTGAATAAAGGTATTACCTACTTCACTGGACTGAATAATAATTATATTTTTTATTTCAAACGCAATATATCTGGACTGAATAATTTATTTTTTTATTCAAACGCAAATATATATATAGCTATATATATAAATATCTTATTAAATATATATATATATATCTATTTAGTAAATTATTAAAAAAATTTAATTATTAGAAAAAAAAAATGACTAAATTATTCATATTATTATAATAATAGTCTGCGTAGATATTTAAAAGAATTTAGATACTTAATTTTTATTCTTCTTATGTAGAGATTTATTTTATTTGGAATAATATATTTAGAAAATCTATTAAATAATAATAATTAATCATGATTTGCATAAATATAGGTTTAAATCATTTTTGAAATTTCAACGACTTAATTCCCTAGCAAAAATAAACAAATTAACACTACAGGTACAATATATATAAAGTCTCGTAGATATTTAAAAGAATTTAAATACTTAATTTTTATTTTTATAGAGATTTATTTATTTGGAAATATATAATTTAGAAAATCTATTAAAATATAATAATTAATTCATGATTGCATAAATATATTTAAATCATTTGAAATTTCACACTTAAATCCCTGCAAAAATAAACAAATTAACACTAAGGTAAACAAAATATAAAATAAAAATAAAAATGAAAAAACAAAACCGAGTAAACAACTCAAAAAAAGCAATGAAATGCCACAAATGTTTTTCTTTCAACCGACAATGAAGAAGTTAAAGTAAAAATTTAAGTTAAACTTTTAACTTATATAAAAAAGAAAAATGGACTAGTGAATAAAAAAGAGAATTTTGAACTTTCTATTTATATACGACGACATATAAATATCAAATTCTTAATCAGCAAAAAAAATAATTTTTAAAAGTTAAAATCACTAATTTCACATCAACTTAATTCTTTGAATTTTAAATCAAAATAAGAAAAACCGCATATATAGCCTTTTTTATGATAAATTCGATAGAATCATACAAATAATAAATTGAATTTAAAGACCTCATATATTATGAACTTGAAAATATTGAACTTAACATGAGAAGAAAAATTAAACTTGTATCTTTAAGATTTACTTAAAAATTGAAATCATAATTAAACAAATTAAAAGAAAAAAAATTACTCACGATCTTATCTATCGTTTTTAAATTATATTTTATAATCTATATTTTTAACACATGTTTTTTTAACAACTTTCAAATTATTAAATTTTTAAACTTTCAAATTATTAAATTTTTAAACGTATTATATTTGATTTGAAGTTTAGACTACATACAAATAAAAGTTAGTTTTTATATTTGTAAATTATGAAATTTAAAGATTGTATTGTTTTTTATCACATATTTGATTTCTACCAAAAAAATAACATATAATTTGAATTTGAAAATTAATAAAAAATTTTATATACATGTAAATTATGATAATCTAAAAAATATAATTGAAATAATTAAATTTTTTATATTACCATGATCGAATATAAAACTCACAAAAATAAAAGTCAATTCATTATGAATGAGAGAGAAAAAGTGGATAAAAAAAGAAAAATGTTCAAAAATTCACAAAAGCACATAAATCAAAATACTGAAAATCTATACAATCTCACTTTTTTTTTATAGAGAAAGCCATGGATTCTCCTTTATATTTTATAACATAATGATAATGATTTTTATTAGGGAGTAAGTTATAAACATAGTTAGATCCATGTCATCGGTGGCTCAAATGCAGGTTGATTTCACCTGCTGTTACTTTTTATAGAATAGTAAAATGATTTTGGAGAAAAAAAAAAAACAGAAGATGCAAAAGTATTTTAAAACGTATTTTATCACTTTAAAGGAACCGGAACAGAGCTAATCCTTTAAAAGCAATAATAATAATTATTGACAAGGCATCAAATGCCTTAAAAAAATTTAATCGGTAGACAATATTAAACTTGAAGCAGACTAATATCTGGTAAAATATAAAAATGGCTACAGAAACATCAGGCAAAAACTGTAATCATGATTTCCAAAAGATACATGGCTTTGAATAAAGTTATAATAGAGTTCAAAGCCCAAAAATCAGAGCATAAATCCAATAAACTTCATAAGCAGTTGTTTTAAAGAGACCAAATTAAACGCCTAAGATACTGCAAAAACACATTTAGTCAACTTCCTCAATCTTGGGGCCAGCACCGCTTGCACCAGCAGGAGCATCATCATCCATGGCAGCACCACCCATGTCACCTCCAGCACCCTGATACATTTTAGCAATGATTGGGTTACATATGCTCTCCAACTCCTTCATCTTGTCTTCAAACTCATCAGCCTCAGCTAGCTGGTTGCTGTCAAGCCATTGGATAGCAGCCTCAATTGCATCTTCTATTTTCTTCTTGTCAGCTGGAGAAAGCTTGGCACCAATCTTCTCATCCTTCACTGTGTTCCTCATATTGTACGAGTAATTTTCCAATGCATTCTTAGCCTCAACCTTCTTTTTGTGTTCTTCATCCTCAGACTTGTACTTTTCTGCCTCTTGAACCATCTTCTCGATCTCCTCCTTCGAGAGTCTTCCCTTGTCATTGGTAATGGTGATCTTGTTCTTCTGGCCAGTGGTCTTGTCCTCAGCAGACACATTCAAGATACCATTTGCATCAATGTCGAAGCACACTGTAATTTGTGGAACACCCCTGGGAGCAGGGGGAATGCCAGAGAGCTCGAATTTACCAAGCAAGTTGTTATCCCTTGTCCTTGTTCTTTCTCCTTCATATACCTGAATCAACACACCAGGCTGGTTGTCTGAGTAGGTAGAGAATACTTGTTCCTTCTTGGTGGGAATGGTAGTGTTCCTGGGAATCAACACTGTCATGACGCCACCAGCAGTTTCTAAACCAAGGGAAAGAGGAGTGACATCCAACAAAAGAAGGTCCTGAACTTTCTCATTACCCTCACCACTCAGGATAGCTGCTTGGACCGCAGCACCATAAGCAACAGCCTCATCAGGGTTGATGCTCTTGCAAAGTTCCTTTCCATTAAAGAAGTCCTGCAAAAGCTGCTGGACCTTAGGAATCCTAGTAGAACCACCAACAAGCACAGCATCGTGTACAGTGCTCTTGTCCATCTTGGCATCCCTCAAACACTTCTCAACTGGTTCCATACATTTTCTAAATAAATCCATGTTAAGTTCCTCAAATCTGGCTCGAGTGATGGTGGAGTAAAAGTCAATACCCTCATACAAGGAGTCAATTTCAATGGTGGTCTGTGCAGTTGATGAGAGAGTTCTCTTTGCCCTTTCACAGGATGTCCTGAGCCTCCTAAGGGCTCTGGGGTTTCCACTGATGTCCTTCTTGTGCTTTCTCTTGAACTCTTGGACAAAGTGGTTAACCATCCTATTATCAAAATCTTCACCACCAAGATGTGTATCTCCAGCTGTGGCTTTCACCTCAAATATACCCTCTTCAATTGTGAGTAGAGACACATCGAAAGTACCACCTCCAAGATCAAAAATCAAAACATTCTTTTCACCAACACTAGTGGCCTTCTTGTCAAGACCATAGGCAATAGCAGCAGCCGTGGGCTCATTTATAATACGCATCACATTAAGGCCAGCAATTACTCCAGCGTCTTTGGTAGCCTGACGCTGTGAGTCATTGAAGTAGGCAGGGACAGTAACCACAGCATTTTTCACTGTGGAACCAAGATAAGCCTCTGCAATCTCACGCATTTTTATAAGGACCATAGAAGAGATCTCTTCAGCAGCAAATTGCTTTTCCTCACCCTTGTATGAAACAACAATCATGGGCTTATCGCCAGGACCAGAAATGACCTTGAAAGGCCATAATTTGATGTCACTCTGAACAGAGGCATCAGTGAATCTCCTTCCAATCAACCTCTTTGCATCTGCAATATCAATTTTCATTTAGACAATTCGGCTTAAATTGAGCAGATAAATTGTAAATTACAATATAGATTGCGTAATAGTAAAAAAGATAGATTAAAAAGGCCTCCAAATATAAATAAATTTCAAACACTTGATTAAAGTAAAACAGGTAATTGCCGAAAAAAAAAAGAACTACAGTAACACAAATGGTGACCAAACAGTTGACTAAATGTGATTTGCTAAATTTCATCAGAGTTTTTCACTGTAGCACAAAGTTAAATTACCCATATTTTAATAGCAAAGTATAAATGGCTTCAAACACATTAACTTAACAATTAAAAAAAAAGGCTAGTAATAATCACCTTCATATCAAACTAATAGATTTCAATATACAAAGACATTTTCATTACAAGTTCACAAAAACAATATACAAACACAATATACAAACATTTCATTTGTGATCGCAACTCAATGAAAGGTTATACAATTTATTCAATAACAGATTTCCGCAATTAAAAAAGAACATATATAAACCCCATTATACATTTAACTGTGCACGTTTAAAACACACAGCTAAATACAGAGATGTCATTTAAAATATATGAAACAAAATAAACAAATTACTACCTACAAGGGCATATCAAGGCAATTGCTTATATAGATTCAGAAAACTAACCTAAGAGACAACAGATCTAATCTACCAAACAGATCTACAAGTCAGGAACAACAGATCTTACCAAAAACGGTGTTGATTGGATTCATGGCGACTTGATTCTTAGCAGCATCACCGATCAAGCGCTCCGTATCAGTAAAAGCAACATAAGATGGCGTCGTTCTGTTTCCTTGATCATTAGCAATGATCTCAACACGATCATGTTGCCATACACCAACACACGAGTATGTGGTACCGAGATCGATACCGATCGCCGGACCCTCTCCCTTTCCTGCCATTTACAAAGCGTTTTTTTTTCCCTTCTTTTTTGTTAAAAAATTCAAAGTGATGAAGAGAAAAAAACTAATAAGAACTAGGGTTTCAAGTGGGAGAAACGTGAACAAGAAGTGCTGTATATAGAGTTAGTGCTGAGCTTCGAGAATGTTCGAATTCTTCAGTTTAGGAGCCGTTAGATCCTTGGATATAATCGACGGTTTCGAATTGGTTCCTCATTTTGCGCGCCCGAAAGAAAAGGACTAACTTGTTTTTTGATTTGTTTTCACTCGTTCGACTTAATTCAATTTAAATAAAACGTGGGCCCTTTGTTTAGTTTGAAAATGTATTTAGACCGTTGGATGAAGTTAACGTATCAGATAAGAAAGCATTTTATTAAAGCGGTCGCACAGTGATTCGTCACCGTCAAGAGAGATTCTAATTTCCAAGAGAGTTATTAATTGAGGACCTTTTCTTTGCTGGCGGCCGACACGGACGCCACCATGCACGTGCTTTAAAGGTCAGAGAAAGAGGAAAGTAGACCATTTTGTTTGGCTGGCCCATGGCCTTTAAGCCATCATATCGTAGGCCTAAAGAGGGAAGGAGGCCTGTATCTAATTACAAAGAAGCTGGGCGGGCTATAAATTTATCTTGGGCTAAACAAAATATTCAAAATCGATCAAATCAAACTGACTCGTTACTCGCACAAGCAACTTGATTCATTCAAGAATTGGAAAACCAGCTATTCAGTTTGATTACGGTTTCATTTATATGTAATCTCTCGCTATTTTTCTTAATCTATCTGTAATCTATAGTATATTAATATAGCCCATTGTTCCGGTATAAATAGTCATTATTTGTTCCTCCACCGTGAGCGGAGCAGATTGGAATTGTTTGAGCAGTTCGTGATATATTTTCTTCACTTGTATTAATAGCACTTATTATTCATTCTTGATCATTCTGAAAAATTTAGAAGCCATTTGTTTCGGTTTTTGTTTTTGTTTTTGTTTTTTGGCTTTCAAAAATAAACAAAATGTATTTATTTTAAATTGTTTAATTTCTTTTCTAGCTTTTTTTTTTTCCTAAAAAATTGCTATAAATATTATTAATGCAAAGTAAGCATATTGGTGATTTAATTAAGAGGCGTATCCCCTCGAGTTATGAACGTAAAGGTTTTTAGTCCTTCCCACAAAGTGTACTTTCCAATATTAAATTTGTATTTTATCTTTACAAAAATTGAGATCGCTTACCACTCCAATCGACAAATTATTAAAAGCAATAACAAAAATATTAATTAAAGGCCGTTTATCTAAATTTGTTCCTCAAAATCAAAAGAGAGAGAGCTTTCTTTCCAACGGAATGAACTGTTTATTTTATGTTCTATGGGGCAATGGGTGGAAGACAAAGAATTGCAATGACTAACTAGCAATTTTAGATAAGTAAAGAGATGAAGTATATGTAATAAACTCAAAATTTATATCCTAAATTTAAAATCATAAATCTAAAGAAATGAAGTAAACAAGTGATAAACTCAAAATGTATATCCTAAATTAATTCAAAAAGTAATTTTGAATCAAATTAGACATCTAGCAAAAACCGAAGCACCAAATTGAATATTTATCTTTTATTTTCCTTTTTAATAGAAATTTCAAGTAAATTCCAAATTGAGCAATGCTAGTGATGCCTTTCCTGCAATAACTGCTATACCCAACTGGGATTAGGAAAATGAAAGGGCGACAACCAAAAAAGAGTATTTGCCACATCAATTCAACCTTATCAAGTTTGAAGCAAAGTTTTTGTGTGGTGCAGTTTGATTCCCAGAAAGAGAGACTCAGTAGATTTTATGAAAAGTATATAAAATCTTATCTTTGATATTTGATTTTTGTTTAACATCTAAAATGGAAAAGTGACAATAAAAATTCTCCAAGCTAAGGCCACCATTTGTTACGGCCGTTTGTTTTTAGTTTTTTTATTTATTAGAAATATGAAGTAGTTTTTAGTTTTGATTTTTTTTTTCTGAATTTTTTTTTTTGTTTATAATGTGAAAAATTCTTCCAATTATCAAATCTCTCCCTTATTAAGCCATGAAAGATTTTACTTAATAATAAAAATTCTAAAAATCTAAAATTTCAGACAAAATAACTAAAAATATTTCACAATTTAATTTTGAAATTTCAAAGTTATAGTAACTATTAATTGTTATGTTGAATATGCTAGATTATTTAATAATCTATATGTGACTCATGTGATTAAAGGGCTGGTTCTAATTAAGGTGGCCCAAGATGATGGTTATTGGGTTTAATGTATAAGAGCCAATTAGGGTTTTAATACCCTTTCTCTGCCTTATAAAAGGAAAAGAATCAACAGCTTAGTGAAAACACAGAAAAGAAAACAAAATAGAGAGTGTGAAGGCTGCCTCAAACACATACAGTGATAGCTTGTTTGAGAGAGCTCATAAAAGAAACTTTTGTAGCTGTTGATTATTCTCTGACCATTGAGAGAAAACTTACGGACAAAACGAATCAACGCATATAGTGAACAACACAGAAAAGAAAATCAAATAGTAGGCTTGGAAGGCTGCCTCACACATAAGTGGATAGCTGTTTGAGGAGCCATAAAAAAACTTTGTAGCTGTTGATTATTCGTCTGCCATGAGAGAAACTTACTGGGACAAAACGCCAGAGGAAGAAACGGCTGATCTGTTTTGGAGAGAATCAATTGCCGCAACGAGGTAAGCCATAGACATAGGATCTGCTGTTAGGATGCAAGGTACACTTCTGATTAATTGTATATTAAATTTGTCAAACATAATTGAATGGCATAGATCTGGGCATATATTTAGAAGAGATATCAACATTGTGGGTTATAGTATATGCTCACTCTGTTCTAGATTGTTTGATAGCGTTTTATTTGGCTTAATTAATGAAAATAATTCGTATTATGAAAGTTGATTTATCTGGTTATAAGCGAAAGCCAAAATTATAGAAATTTTTGAAACTGTTTGTTTTCACTCTTATTATGATGTACTAATATAATTATGATGGCTATTATTTATAGAGAATGGTTATGACATTTATTATTGAGTTATGATAGTTAAAGTTTGATCTTAATTTAATCTCATAAAAGTTTTGCATAAATCAATGTTTTAATGAATGGAAAACGTTGTTAGTCACCAAAGTGCCCATTGTTTGGATTGTTTGTAGACAGTGTGATTATGCAGTTTTCATTGTTATACATACTCTTGGAGATGTTGATGCCGTTATTATGTTCATGGAAAGTTAAATTGAACAGATGAGTTCGTTGATTATAATTTGTTAGGTTACCCAAAGGTGAACAGTTAGACCATTAATTATAATCAATGGCATTAAAGAGACTTTTCATTGTACTAATTAATATGAATGTATATCCAAAGATAACATGCATATTGTATGGAGTATTATTGAATAGTTGAATGGAATAAAAAAAAAAAAAAGGTAACTGGATTCCACAAAGGAGCACGGGCGTGCTGTAATGAAGCACGGGCGTGCTTCTCTCTGACTTGCATAAAGGCTCGCAAGTTGCTTCACAATGAAAGTCTATTAAAGTATTTTTCGTCTTGGCATCATTATTGATTAAAGCTATGCATTTAAATATTACCCAAAGGTGAATCTAGATGCATAATTGAAGTTGTTATTGGTTTGAATCTATTTTATGTTTACTCAAAGCATTAACGTATGAGTATATATATAATGTTGCAGCTTCTTTTAACATGTTTGCTATAGGCACTGGGTTGATTAAGTTCAATGGGTTGATTAAGTTCAATGGATTGAACTATGCTGATTCGTCCGAACAAATACATTATCAGTTAGGAGTTTTGGACTTGGATTTGGCATTAGTCTCTGAAAAGCCAGCATCCATTACAGAGACCAGCACTGAAGCTGACAAGTCCCGTTATGAGGCTTGGGAGCGGTCTAACAGGCTGAGCTTGAACTTAATGAGGATGACAATGGCTGAAAATGTTAAGCCATCAATGCCCGTAACAGACAATGCTAGAGAGTACATACTGAAAATTAAGGATACTCCCAATCAGACATAGCTGACAAGTCCATCGTAGGATCCTTAATGAGTGAGTTAACGACCAAGAAGTTTGATTGGTCACAATCCATTCATGATCATGTGACAAGCATGCAGAATTTGGCAGCCAAACTGAAATCAATGGGAATGGATGTGAGTGAATCCTTTTTAGTTCAATTTATTATTAACTCACTTCCTCTTGACTCACTTTCCTTTTTGAGTTTGGTCAGTTCCAGGTGGATTACAACACCCTTAAAAGGAAAATGGAACATTCAGGAAATCAAAGGCCCATGTTGATACAGAGGAAGGGAGATTAACAGAAATTGGAAGGAACACTCTATTCAATTTCTGACATTTTTCATAATGGAACTAGTAGCAGCAATAAACAAATCAGGGGAAAGAAAGGCAATAAAACAGGGGACAGTTCCCAATGAAGGTTAATGATGGCAAATCGTAAGGAATGAAGTGCTACTTTTGTAGAAGAATGGGTCACTTCAAGAAAGGACTGTGCCTAAAAGGAAGATTTGGTTTTGAAAGAAGGGGGTTTATATTTTATAATTTCAATATGGTTTTTCTTGAATAGCAAATTTTTTATTGAAGTACTAATAATAACGCTGGTGGTTAGATTCTGGGGTGCATACTACTCATGTGTCTCATATTTAATAACAGGGATTTCTTTCGATGCAACCCATAACGAAAACTGAAAAGTTCTCTTTAAATGGGAAACAGAATTGAAGGCACAAAATAAAGGAATTGGAGACTTATAGATTTTGATCTGGTGCACTTGGTTTGTTATATGGATCTTGAAAGTGTCCTCTATGATTTCCTGAATGGCTGCTAGAAATTTGTTTCTGTAGGGGAGGTTGGATAATGTGGTTTCAGTTTTTAAGATTTGTTTAATGGTGTTTTTTTTTTCATTAATACAAACTTACAGTACTATTATGGTTCTGGTACGGTACTTTGATTGATGGTTTGTATCGTTTTAATCTTGATGCTGAATTTATTGAATCCCGGTTTAATGTTGAACACAATATAGGTATTAAACGTAGTGCACATAATGAATGTTCTACTTTCTTGTG